TCACAGTGAGAATGAAAATAGCAGTGGCTGGAGGTGACTTCTGAACATTTTTTCCAAGGATTTTTGTGTTCATCAGAAGTGTTTCCACTCACTGACGCAGGTTGCTCAGAGAGAATGAAGTCTTAAAATTTTGAAGATGCTCAGGACATGGTCCTGAACAACTGGTTTTGGTGGCCCTGCTTGAGCTGGGAGCTTGGATAAAAGGATTTCCACGTGGAACTGGATGCTGCACGTCACCAAGCCGTGGGGTGTGCTCAGGAGGTGGCAGTGCCTGGAGAAGGTTCCTGGCCTTGCTTCCCAGGGCACAAATAAAACACATCCTTGAGTCACATGGCAGAGCTTTTTTTACTTTTTTCTTTTTTCCTAATATGCCTATTTTGGGAAAATGGGCTAGAGAGTCCTAGATTAGCTCCAGTATTTTGGACATTAGTCCTACTTTTGTGCGTGTACCAAGAAGAATTTGAGTTTTGATACAAATGCAGTACCTGGACTTTGAGAAGCGCCAGGTAAATAAGAGCCTGTCTGAACAACTCCCAGGAATAAAGGACTTGGAGCTGGCAGAGGAGGACTGCTGTCTGGAATGTGAAGCCAGACACATTCAAAGTAGAAATCAAGTATGAATTTGTAGTGGAGAGGGTGATTAATCACCAGAATGAACTGGAGTGGACGGATCCTTGGTCTCTTGCTGGTTTTGAGGCAGGATGTCCTGGGACAGAAGTTAAACCAGGTAACAGCTTTACTTCACACTGCCCTCAGTGTAGAGAAGCCTGTTGAATCCAAAATCATTTAGGCTGGAAAAGACCTCCAGAATCAACCAGTTGGAATGAGTCCCACCTTTGACAGGTGCTTGTCACCCAGACTAAAGCATTGAGTGACACATCCAGTTGTGCCTTGGGCACCTCCACCACCTCCCTGGGCCCATTCCAATGTTCAAGAACCCTTTCCATGAAGAAATTCCTCCTCATGTATAGCCGGAGCCTCCCCAACACATCTTCGTGGTCATGTGTACACACGTGTGCACAGGGTCTGCCCAGAAGACCTCACAATTCCTACAGACCTTACGCTGTACATTGGGTAAAAGGCCTAAATTTTAAAATTTTTGCTGTTTCTAGGAGAGTATTGGTTTGTAATTATGCATGGAGTTGGGAACCTGCCTTTACTGCAAGTTCAGCAGTGGTAGAACTTTGTCCTCAGGGCTGAATTTCTTGGTGGTTCTGCTTTTCAGGAGTGCTGTGACAATTGCAGTGCTGGGGCCTCTGCTGTGTTCAGCCACTGATACCATCCTGGGTGGCTTTAAGCCAAGAATTCAGCCCCTCTGTTCATGTTTTACTTAGGTCAAAATGTTGATGTTTGTCTTCCCCAAGGACAAAAGCTTTTAGTTTGTTATTTGTAAATCCCATTTTAAGAGCTCACCAAGGAAGGTATTAGTGAAATACAAAATGATGGCTTTTTAAAAAAAAAATTTTTACTGTGTGAGTCACTCAGAAATTAAAAGAGAAAATTAGTTTCTCTTCCAAATAAGTGATATCAGCCTCATCTTTACCAAGTGACTTTCTCCTTGCTTCTGCTGGGTGTTGTGGATCAGGGTGAACTCTACTTCAAAACATTTAATTGCACACAGTGAGAAATGAAGAAAACTGAAGGGGATCCCAAGAATGTATTAAAAATCAGAACTAAAATGAGAATGATTTCATGTCAAGTGAGACAAATGCAGAGTTGATACTCCACTGCTTCACACTTCCACTTGTCCTTGGCACTGAGAAAATGAGATTTTTAATATCTGAAAAACAGATTGCCATGAAGACTCATCCATTGTAAATTTAAGCTGCCTTTATAGCAACTTAAGCTGGGGACAAGATTGTTCATTACATCTGATTCTACAACTGCAGCCATGATTTCCATATTAATAGTGACTGGTTTGTTGTTTTTTTTTTTATTGTCTCTACCAGAAATAGGAAGGGGAGCTGGTTGTGTTTTCCCTGGCTTAGCAGATAATTTATTTAATGAATAATGCGAAAAGGGCAAAGGTTTGTGAGTTCTTACTCCCATATCACCACAAAGAGTGGTGACACCTGCCTCAGAGTGCTTTGGTGCTAAAAGGAGGCTGAGGGAAGGAGGAATATTGACTCATGATTCAGAGTCAGGATTTGTTGCTGATGGAATTTATGTTGGTCAGGATTGAATTGTTTTGACTCCGATTTTAGGTGAAGGGTTTGCTTGTTCCCTGCCTGATGTGCCCTTAAGCTACAAAAGCATTGAAGCAGCTTCTCACATGTGTCTGGGGGTGGGGAAGGTATTTCTGTGCCACTGAACTTTAGACCAACGTGGAGTCAAAGGCTGTTTGTGCCCCTTTTCAATAGCGGCCGCTGGGGCTGGCAGCGGCCGGAGGAAGCACCAGCTTCCTCTCCTTTCTCTGGAGCTGGGCTTGCTTTCACCAGCCCTGCTCCCAAGGCAGACCTGAGCCTTCCCTGTCCTCCCTTGCTTCATCTGTGGTTGAATTCTGAGTGTAGTAAACCTGGTTGACACTTAAATGTAACAGAACCAGAGCATTATCTCTATTTTGTCATGGATTTGCTGCTGTTTATTTCTGCTGAAATCTTGATGTTCTCTGTCTGCACTCCCAGATCTGCAGTCTCTTGGAAAAGCTCATCTTCCTCCTCTAATCACGTCTCAAATTTGGTCTGGATCCTAATGGCTCTTCTCTTAAAACATCTGAGGTCCATACCAGCTTTTTCCTCTTTCACTGCTATCACTAATATCATCCTCCTGCCTTTGTCATCTCAAAACCTGAGTTACAGCAGCCTTTTCTTTGCTTCTCTTATCTCATCTCCTCATGTTCTACTTTTAATCCTGCATTTCATGATGATGGAAGGTGATTTTTTTTTTTCTTTCTGTGTTTTCTTCTTTGCTACATCCATACCCCTCACCCTGGAAGCAGATCTTTCTCTGAGGAATCCAGTTCTTTATCATTAGCCCCTCTGACCTTCAGAAAGTTTGTATATATTCAAGTCTAATTTGTTCCTCTTCGGAAAACAAAACAGCTCTCTGTATTAAAATTTGGCAAGAAGTCAGCAGCATGATCTCATGTTTTTTGTGACTGCCTCGGGGGGAATATGTTTAAAATGCAGTCAGGAGATTTGACAGAGGAGGGGTTTGGTGGGGGAGTCTCTCTGAAAGGTTTGGGGTGGCTGACAGGGAGGGACCTGGGTGTTTGGCTCTTCCATCCCTCAGTGGTTTGCTGTCAGTGATTCTCTCTGAACGTGGCCTCTGGGGTCTGCTGGGGCCATTCATCTTGGTCACCTCATTCCTGGAGAGAAAGAGGCAGCTCAGGACCTCAGTGTGGGCCAAGTGGGTTGTTCTGGAAGAGCAGCAGCCAACTCTCAGCACCTCCCCTCCCTGGAAACATCCAGAGCTTTCCCTGGCCACAGCTGGGTGGGAGAAGGCTCTTATGGACAGGCTTAAACCTCCCAGGAAAGCTGGTGGTCAAAAGCTGAGTGCTTCCACTTCTGGGAAAGCTCATTCTGCCCAAACTTTGGTCCTGAAAGTTCATGAGGTTCTTCATGGAGGAAAAAAGGGGAAAAAACCACGTGGAGATGATATCACCATCTCTGGAGGGATTTAGTAGCCATGTGGATGTGGCACTTGGGAGTGCTGGGGTAACAGTTTGACTTGATGGTCTTGATGGAGGTGATTTTCCTCCTGTGCTCTGTGAGACCTCTGCTTTGTGAGACCTCAGGTGGAATTCTTTGTCCAGCTCTGGGGTCCTCAGCATGAAGAAAGTAATGGGAAGATGTGGAGATGTTGGAGTGAAACTAGAGGAGGCCACGGAGCTGCTCCGAGGGCAGGAGCTCCTCTGGAGCCAGACTGGGAGAGCTGGGAATGTTCAGCCTGGAGAAGGATCCAGGGAGAGCTCAGAGCCCCTTGCAGGGCCTAAAGGGGCTCCAGGAGAGCTGGAGAGGGACTGGGGACAAGGGATGGAGGGACAGGACACAGGGGGAATGGCTTCCCACTGCCAGAGGGCAGGGATGGATGGGATATTGGGAAGGAATCCTTCCCTGTGAGGGTGGGAGGCCCTGGCAGAGGTTTCCCAGAGAAGCTGTGGCTGCAGTGTCCAAGGCCAGGTTGGATGGGGCTTGGAGCAACCTGGGATGGTGGAGGATGTTCCTGTCCATGGCAGGGGGAGGGACAGGATGAGCTTTAAGGTCCCTTCCAACCCAAACCATTCTGGGGTTCTGTGATCTTAGAGGGCTTTTCCAGCCTGACCAGCTCAGTGCCTCTGCATCCCTGTGTGCCCAGAGGGCTCCATCTGGGGGAGGTGCAGTTCTTCCCCAACATCTTCAGCAGGTGTTTAGGGAGGAAGAGTCATTCTCTAATGTCTGGACCACTTTTAACCACTGAGAAGAGCCAAGATGTGTCCATCCATGGCTGCTCTCCATGGATTAGCAATCCACAATTGCTGATGTTACAAATGGAGCAGAGGAAATTATCCCCTGCATCTCCCTATGCTGCTGTATCCACTCATTTTCTATCCCAGCTCTGCCTGGATATAACATCCTGCTTTTCTCTTCCTTCTTGGTTAATAGTTTGACTTTTGGAGCACTTTCAGTCCGTGTTAGTTTGTGGAGAAAGTCATCAGCAGTGATAGCTGAGGAAAATTCTATTAGGTCATTCCTCCTCAGAACACAGTACCTGTCTCCTGAGCTCTTTGAGGATGTTGGCCAAATAATCCTTTTAATAGCTTTTGTGAGTTAAAAGGGTAGGTAACTGTCATAAGGCTAAATGATTGCATAGATTAATTTACTTGTGGTCGAAAGAAATCAATTGTAATTTAAATTTTTGTCTCTGGACTGATTACAACACCAGACATCAACTTTCTCCATAAGAATCATTGAAGTCTGTGAGTCTGGTTAGTGACAGATTATCCAGAATGATGTGATTGGGTCCCTTTGCCTCTCCCAAACCTCTCTAATGTTCTTGGATCTTTTCCTTGTGTCTTCCAGAATGGTGAATAACACTGAAGACCCTCAAGAGGCTTTGTAACGTCCCATCCTCATGTAAAGTATGCTCAGAACTTTTCCAGTAGTGTAAGTACAAGCTGAAGAAACTCATAAAAATTCAGAGTAATTTTGTGGTGTTCTTCTGTTAAATTGTCTAAAAAGAGCAGAGAAATGTTACAGTGATTATGAGCAGTTGGCTGAGTCAGAGAGTTTCACTGGTTTAGTGGAAGATTTAAACCAGAGAAGACATTTAAACCAAAAATAGTAAAATAACTTGGCATTTAAATTAGGGAGTAGTAACTTTGAATTGCTCACTTAGTCTGGCTCATGTATTGTTTGTGCTTCTGCATTTCTGTCACTGAAACAGAAGGAAAATGATGCAGTTCTTAGAAAATCAGTCTTGATCAGAGAAAAATCAGTGTTAAAGGAGAGATCTCCATACAGCAACTGAACAAATGAGAGGGATATAGAGTTTAACACCATTTCTAGATTTGCTGAAAGGGATGAGCCACCTTCAATTTAGTAGCCTCTGGCAGAGACAGAAAACCTGGGGCACCTCACCTAATCCTGGTGCTGGATGTGTTGGTCCAAGCAACTCAAGTATCTTCAGTGCCAATTGAGGTTGTCCAAATCTCATTGTGGAATTTCAAATCAGTTCTGTCATATCTCTTCAATTTCATTGGTTTCCATGCTGTTTCTTCAATAAATAAGCAAATTAATTCAAATTATGAAGCTTGTCAGGCTGAAAGGAAGGGCTTGACCTGCACTGTGCTGTCACTGGCCAGTCCTGTGTGGCTGCTCACAATATTCCTGTTACAGGCACAACCAAATGCTCATCCCCTGCAATCAGATTCCTGAGATACTTGGACCTCTTGATTTCAGATTGTTCCTTCTGTCGCGTCTGGAAAGAGAAGCCTTTTCTACAGGATAGGTAGCAAGGAACTACCATCACATTTTCCTTGATGGATTTCCATCACATTTTCCCTGATGGATTATTTCAAGGATGAACATGTATCCTTGGACAGGGATGGTGCAAGTGACAGTGCAGCCACAGCCTTCTGTAGAAGAAGTCACAGCAAAAAATAGTGATTGACAGGGATTTAGTGTTGGAAACCAAACTCCAATGGATTTCAAAAAGCCATTAATTAGTGGTTTTCTGTTGCTGGTGGTTTCCTACTTTGCTGCCAGTCCCTTGAGCCACCTCCTCTTCTTCCTTTTAGCTGTGGAAGTATGTTGGAGTTCAGTATTAAAATCACCACTTGAAATTGTAAAGATCTGGTTCACAGCAGGAGAGAAGTCTGAAGGTAAGGCCACATCACCCTGGGCATCTTTGTTATCCCAGTAATTTGGAGTTTGCTGGGTGACCTCAGAGCTCCTCTGTGCTTGGAGTGAGCACAAGGACATCTCACAGCTTTGTATCAGGCTTTGGTCAGAAATTTCCAGACTGGGAATTGAATAGCTTGAATTTCCTGTGCTTTAGCTCAGTTTCAGTCATGTTCTGCCCCTGTGCAGTTTTCTGCTGCCACCTCCCAGCAGAGCAGTAGCAGCTTCATTGATTTATTCCAGTGTATGTGCAGTCAGTATGGCCATGGAAGATGCTGTAGAAGTAGAGGGGAATCATTTTTGACTGAGGGAAAACTGGGGGGAATTTATTTGGAGGGGATTAGAGAGTGTTAAATTAGAGGAAATGGGCCAAGATGACCCATTTAGATAGAAAGTTTCCAGATTAAACCACAGATATCTTTTAAAAAGGGTAAATGGGATTGTGAAGGGGAAAGAAGAAAATGGAGCATTAAAAAAATATAAAAGTTTGAATTTAAATAGTGATTGAAGAGTTGCAGAAGTGCTATGGTAAGAGAATAGTTGGGTTACTCCTAAGAGTAGGAATTACCTGGGTGCAAGTTACCATTTCACTGCCTCATTTTTACCCTTAGTAGGATGAGAGTCAGTGCTGGAGAGGATTTGAGGTGTGGTGTGAACACAGAACTCTTGATCTTGGCCTCTCAGGAATTAAGAATTCATCTAAAACTAAGTCCTGGAGCCAACAACTTTATCTCTATTGGGCTCCCCATAAAAATGGGAGTAATTACTTGAGCTTTGTAGTCCATATTGATTAATTAATATGTGTTAATAGTGAGTTACAACTATCAGTATGTTTTACATCCCTCAAAGTATGATTTCTGATAGAACCAGACAGTTTCACTGTCATCACTTCAAATTTACTTGGATGACCAGGCCAGTGCTCATGAATTTAACTGCCAGCAGTGGCAGAGGAGTCTGGGGAGTGAATAAAAGAAAATCAGGGTGAATAATGCAGGTGGAGAAGGGCTGGATTGAAGCCTTGTCATCATTTGGGGAAAATAACAGGAAGAAAGGAACAAGAGTGTGAACTCTACCAAGTCAGCACAGATTGAAGAACAGGCACTGGACTTAGGGTGCCTCAGAAAATCACCACAGGCTGAGCTGTACCTGTGCAGTGTCCTTGAAATGTGACACAGAACAGGTTAATTAAACTCAGGTAACAGAAAACTCAGCTGATTTTCTCCTTTTGTCTTCAGTGACAAGGTATTGTGTAAACAGTGGGTGACTCTGGGAGCGATAATTTGGCTTTTTTAGCTCCTTTAACTGAAACAATGTCCTGCCTGAGTCCTTGGTTTTATTTTAAGATAAACCAGATGAGTTAATTCATGATTTCATAGCAAAAGTGACCTAAAAAAAATCTTGTTGAATGTTTTTTTTCCTCTAAAGGGTTTGGTACAGCTGCCCAGGGAAGTGGGGGATTCCCTTCCCTGGGGGGATTTAAAAGCTGTGTGGATGTGACACTTGGGGACATGGGTTAGTGGTGGCCTTGGCAGTGTGGAATGTAGACTTGGTCTTGTCTGTCATGTAGGAAACTTCCCTGGTTTGGGTCTGGGTTACACAAAGACATGTTTGTTGCTTAATTAAGAGCATTAATTAGGATATTAATTTCTTTCTGAAGTGCTTTTAACTAAAATAAAACTCCAGTATGGAAGCAGCAGTGGCCAGAAGCCCATGGTTTTTGCTGTTATGATTTATTTTCTTCAAGGAGACACTGGTATCTGTTCCTGAGTTCTCCAAGTGTAATTTCTGTCTTCACTAAGGCTGTGCCAGTAATACTGCGCTTAAAAACTGTTTTTCTATTGGAAAAAAATTTGCTTTGTAGTGAAGCACAAAAACAGAGGTAGGTGAGGTTCAGCTGTTTGCTGGGTTTGGATTTTAGTTTTCTGAAGTAATTAATTTCTCTTTTAAGGAAGTGTTTTAGTTGTTAGTGCTGGTGATAGGTCCTGAAGGAGAATGAAGGTGCCTGAAATACTTCGGAATGTCTCTTTTTCTTTATGTATGGAAGAGGTGGTAGAAATCCTGGTGAGGGCTTTGCTTGAAAGTTGTCCTGCACTTTGTCGTGTGTGTGATGCTGTAGATGGACCCTGTATGTGTGGTGAGAAGATGCTCAGAGTTTGGCCAGGCTCTCGTTCTGGCTTCTTGCAAAATTCCTGTGTGACTTTGAAGGAGTCATTTGGACTTGTCCAAAGTGCAGCCCCTCTCTGGGAGCTCTTGGTCACAAAAATTAGTGCAGTGTTATTGCCTGCCTCACAGGCATCTTGTGATTGGAGTATTTACATACCCCAGGTTGCAAAATTATTGGCCAGAAGAGTTCTGAGATTCTGCCTACATTTTAACAGAGGATTGGTAAAATTTTGAAATGAAATGGAGGAGGCAGAAGACAGCACTGTACCCTGTAATCTTGACGGCTGAAAATGATGAATTATTGTAGAATCCCAGAGTGTTTTAGGTTTGGGTTGGAAGGGGCCTTAAAACTCATCCTGTCCCACCCCTGCCATGGGCACGGACACCTCCCACTGTCCCAGGTTGCTCCAAACCCCATCCATCCTGGCCTTGACACTTCCAGGGTTGTGTCAGTCTGGTCTCTAGGGCAGGCCCATGTCTCAGTTTTATTGATGACTTTTTAAATGACTGTTTCTTCACATGGACTACACTATTTCAGTGTCTTCATGAGATTTACTGTAACTAAAGCACACAAGTCCTGCTTTGAGAGCTGTTACAGAGCTTATATGTCCAAAGTTTAGTCTTTGGCTCCCAAACCCAAGAGCTCCTCCTTGCTCTTGGCACAGGTCTGGGCTTTGGGCCCTGGTTCAGCACTCAGCTGCCACTCCAGTTTTTCTCTGTGTTTGTTAGTCCTGCTGATCCCTCATTCTGCCCTTGAATCCAGGCTCAGAGTTTGAATTCCTGCCTTGTTGCTGTAGAATTGCAACAATAGCAGGAAACCCAGATTTTGGAAGTAGGGAAGGTTAGGGTTAGACAGATAAGGTGTCAGCGTGAATCAGTGCGTGCCTTGAGTAGAATTCAGAAGTATCTGGCTGCCAGCCCTGTGCTTAGTCAGAGGTCAGTCCCTTTTGTAAGACTTGGATTATGACAATAATTGCCATTTATATTATATTTTTGCCTTGTAAGATCAATCTCAAGTTCTCTCTCTCTTTCCCAGAGATGTAAAGCAGAGTAAGTTACTCACCCAAGTGGCAAAACGACTGGGTTTGCTCACTGCCAGCATCCATTAAAATTATTTTATCAGCAGAGAATTTCAGACAATAAGTGGGAAGAGCAGCTTGTGTAGAGCAGTGAGTCAGGGTTTGGGGCTCTTTAACCAGCTGAGAAACTTGAAGCCTCCTGAAGAAACGATGTGTTGATATTCTGCTCTCAGCTTGCCTCCTCTAATTTGTGTAGCGGTGAGTATTTGATTACGCCGGATTTATTTTCAGAAGTTTCAGGCTGCTCTTATTAATTGTCCCCATTTTGATCGAAGGCGTGTGGCACAGCTCTGCATTCCAGAGCTGCTGTTTTGCATCCCTAAACAGAGCTGCTGATGCTGGGGCTCTGGGGCTCAGCTCAGAGCCTGATTTCCCCCCTTGCTGCAGAGTGAGGCTCTCGTTTCCCCGGGATGAGAGCAGTCATTACAAGAATTACATTTTGTTTGTGAATCAGGATGAATGGGAGTAGAGGCCTTTTTTTTTTTCTGAAAATCAGAAGCCAGAGATGCAACTGCAGGAGAT